ACCACTGTAACATTGTCTTCCATGAATGTCAAGAAACTTTCCAACCTGGTGGGGGATTGTTGGAAATTTGTAGGTTGGAAGTTAACCTTCCATCCCACATAGGTAGAAACTTAATTTCTAGAGAAGCTTATAAGGCTTTCTCTAGAAGCGAGTTTTGAACATGTCAGTGGACTCATGGTGGGGATCTTGAGTGGAAGGCCAAACACAAACGCGTGCGAGTGATCGTGGCCGTGGCGTGAGGAGGCGCACTTTGCACTTTGCATGCCGCATCGGAGTAGAAGGAACCTCGCCCCGAGCTCCGAGTATATTTTTGATAAAAATTGGTGAGGAGAAGTATAATTATCAGTTATAATTTGGATAATTATCGGTTTTATTTTGAAATTAATCAGATAAGACTTGGTATTTGAGATAATACTTAGTGGAGAATTTTTCTCCACCATTATCTCCGATTTTTTGGAGAAAATCGTGGGTGGTTTTAGGGTTTCACCAAGTATTTATACTGTGTTGAAACCGTATCACAATACACAGAAAAATATTGATTTCCTCTCAATCGAATTCTGCTCCCGAGCTCTATTTCTCTCTACCGTCTTCTACATAAATCCTTACTTTTTATATTCGTTTTTGGTTTCTATTCATAAACGAATCGTGTACTGCATCAAATCCTGGGGCTTTGCGACTAGTAGACTCACAGCGTGTTAAGAGTGGTCGTATAAAACCTTAAGGGACAGGTTCTACCGTGCAGTTTATCATCCAAATCGACAGAAGCTTTAGACAGGTTGGTTTTATAATATTCGTATTGCATTTAATTTTCTGTTCACTAAGTGAACACTCTGCTTCTACCCCTTTCTTTCATTGAGTCCATCGCGAAGGATAGATTCAATGTGTGTGACTTGTCACATTTGAGGTGTTGGTTAGTCTGAATATTAAAAGGTTTAAGATTCGTCTGTTATATAATTAAATTTTATAAAGATTAAATCTTTATTTGGTTTTCATCTTTCTTATTGAAATATTTCTTTTTCAACACAGCCTCTCCAAAACTCTCCAAAATGGAGAAAACACGAGAGAGTGTAAACCAAAAATGAGAGAAATATTTTTTGTATCATATTCACATCGATAGGAATCCTTGATATTAATGATTTATGAGAGAGAAATAATATTTTATTAGAGTTTTAATTCTCTATTTTGGAAATTTTTGAAGAATATGTTAGAGATGCTATAATATTGTAAAAAATTTATAAATCCAAATGATTTGTTTTTAGACTATTAAATTTTAGAAAAAAATTGATTAATGTAAGATTAAAATTCGAAATGTTCAAAGTATTAACCGAAAATTAGTAATACCAACTTAAACATTATTTACATATAATTAATACTCTAAAAACTTAAATATTCAAAGTATTAACCGAAAAATAGTAATACCAGTGTAATTTACTCTAAAAACTTATATTTATAAATAATTATATATTATATAAAAACTAATACATATAATTAAATATTAATAATTTAATATAAAGTGAATGGGGGAAAAAATGCAAGGTTGGAGTTTTGAAACATTAACCTTTAAGATAGTGGCCACAAATGATTACCAATTGAATTATTTATCATATATGTCCTTAAAAGCTCAATTATAGTATTTGAGTCTAAAAGCGGGAGACCATGACCCCAAAGGCTCCCATAAGGTTTCGGCCCTTGTGCACATTATACAAAAGATCATCCATTTATCAAAACTGATTACATTGTTTTATCGTATCATGTCATGAAATCCGATTATATCTCTCTTGTATTTTCATCTAAGCCATGCAGTAACAAATATTTATTTAATTGATGAATTACTTTTTATCATGGTTGTTATTAATATTTCATTAATTTTACAATTATGAAGACTTTGTTTGATCGTTATATCATCATAACTTCATTTCAATATATTTTAATCATAATATTTAAGGTATTTATTTAAGTATAAAATTATCATTTTAAAACTCTAAATCTCCTTAACAATTGTTTCACAATAAAATATTTAGCTCTAACTATAGAAACCAACAATATTTAGCCCAATCAAAATGAAAAATAAACAATATTATCTTCACAAACAATAAAGAGATCAAGTTATTATTTAAATAAAGCATTTGTTAGACTTGATATATAAATATATATATATATATATATATATATTGTCTTCAATGATGATTATGTGGGAGAGCCAAAGTAAAATTTTAATTATTATATCATTATATTTTTAACCTATTCTAGCAAGGAGAAGCAAAAGCACAAGGGCCATGGGCCCCTTAAGCCATCCGCCCCTGTATTATTTAGTGAAACAAAATTCTAACACCTTCTAAATAAGTTCAAATAGCATCTTTTTATATATCTGTCACGCCCCGATTTCTTTTTCTTTCGTTCGAGTGTCGTGACGTCATTTTTAATAACTTATGCCATGAACAAGATACGAACTTAAAAGTTCAAACATATATAATGTGTTAAACATAATTCGTTACATAATTGCGGAAGCATAAAATACTTTAATGTAATCAATGCTAATTAAATATCTAATCAAGCATGATTCAAAACAGAGTTTCATCTTTCTTCATTCAACTCGTCTACTGATAATTGATACCTGAGATATATATATGTATAGTATAAGCTAAAAGCTTGGTGAATACAATATGATTTCATGATCACATGCACACATAAACAGTGTTTTAGTGTATTTTAGTTATTATCTTGCAAGTGAGGCCTCGGCTCGTCACTTTTCTTTGCGTATGTGGCGTATTCTATGGATGAGGACTTCAAGACCTCGGAATTGCAAGCCCTCATTTCATGTCCAACCCACCCCATACGGTGGACGAATCTTGCCGAATCATACTAGTTGCATATCATTTATTTGCAATACTCACTCATTAATGCAAATCTCATCGTAACATGCAACATACATCTCATGCAAGTGACAACATAAATCACATATGCATCATCGTCATTTTTCACATTGTACACATACTTGAATATCATATTGATAATATCAAGTCATCATAATCTTTCTCATCAACATCATCTATCATATCATGCATATACTTAAATATCATGTACATCATTGCAATCAAGTTATCATCAAATGCATATAACCACATCATGCAAATATCATGGATAAAATACTTTGTAATAATCATGTATATATCCCATAAAAATAGCATAATGTACTCACCTTGAATCGTTAACGTTCGATAGGCCATTCTCTAAAAAACCGCAACCTACATGATAATTCATACCATTCCTAAGCACCTTAGGTAATTGAAACTAAATTGATCATTATTCTCCACCAATCTTAGCACGTCTAATCTTAACAATTTTTATTGATCAACCCCCGATACCATTATATCTCAACTTCACTCAAAAATTTTCTTGAAATATTATTAATAATGTGATGTCGTTATAATATTAATTGTTGCTCGTTCATTTTATAAAAATAAGCAATACATTCAACATTTTCTTGAAAAATAAGTTTTTTACCAAAATAACTAAACTAAATAGTTCGCAACGTAAATAATGTTTTGTGGTCAAAACGTTTCTTTTAAAATTTGTAAGTGAATATGTAACACACACTTTCGCAAATACGTTGCAATTATCCCCTTTATACGTGTTTATGTAATCTGGGTCTTTCAATTTGGTATCAGAGCGGTGGTTTAAGTGAACTGGATACCAGCGACGGTATCCAGACTTAAACCTTGTGGCAGTATCATGTAGTAAATATGTTTTGATTTAAACGGGATATGAACTTAGGAGAAACCTAGGTGGGAATTGGGAATTTGTTATTGTGTCGGTATCATGTAGTAAATATGTTTTGATTTAAACGGGATATGAACTTAGGAGAAACCTAGGTGGGAATTGAGAATTTGTTATAGGATTCTATTTAATGTTATGTATACGTCGTAACTTTCAAAAAGATGGCCGACGGTGATGAAACTAGTCACACCCCATCTAACGACAATGTAAGAGAAAATGCTCCACACCTGGAGATTTATGATGATGAGGCACCGATGTCTCCTCGAAGCAAATGTTTGATGCACCGTATGACTTTATTAATTCAGCAAACGTTAGCCCAACAACGACATGACGATAGAAAGTCTGAAGATGATAAAGGTAAAGGTAAGGAGAAAGAAACGGTTGACACCTCAAAACCCAAAACCAACCGAGTCTCTTTTAAAACCTTTCATGGTAGCGGTGCTACTGAGTTCTTTGGGAAGGTTGATCCATTGGAGGCACTTGAATGGATATTGAATACTGAGAAGGTCTTTCGCATCACCCGGGTGCTATGTGATGATAAAGTGAATTATGCCACGACCATGTTCAAAAGTAGGGCCTTGATATGGTGGAATGCTACTTTTGTAGCTTTAAGTGAAACTGAAAAAGAAGGTATGCCTTTGGAGTCTTTCAAAACTCGTTTTAACAAGAAATATTGTCCAATTGATCTACAAAAACGATTGGTGAAGGAGTTTCTTGATCTTAATCAAGGAAAGATGTCAGTGGTGGACTACGAGACCGAGTTCAATCATAAAGCACAGGTTGCCACACGTTTCTTGACTACAGAACAGGAACGTGTAGACCACTTTATAGATGGATTGCGATCAGAGATTCAAGATGTCATCGCCAATCGTGACATTTTAGAGTTTGAGAAAGCGGTGGAATCTGCACGACGGCGCGGACACGATTTGACCCGCTCGGATCGTAATCCAGCTCCGCTAGCCAAGCGACCTCGAATTGAAGGTGCCATATCTGCACCAACTTAACAATTTTCTAGGAATTTCAATCCGAGATACGCTCAATCCCAAGCTAGATCGCAACCTCAATCTTGGTCCCAAGCTCATAGCCTTCAGTCAAATGCTCCTCCACCTTGTTCTACTTGTGGTAAGGCTCATCGGGGCCGATGCAACACTGTTCGCCCTGAAGTTAGATGTCATGGTTGTGGTGAAGTTGGACACGTGAGACCGAAATGCCCGAGGAGGGATATGACATGCTACTCATGTGGTGTTATAGGCCATCGTCAGAGAGAATGCCCTCGATCTAAACCTGGGGAAAGTAAGGCTTCTGTTCGCCGACATTCTATTAGTGGTGCTCCTCGTCAAAAGGAGGAGGTACCGCACGTCCAGACCAGAGCTTTTCAAATCACTTATGAGGAAGCTCAAGATAAACCGGATGTGGTTATGGGTATATTTCTCGTTAATTCTCATCCCGCTCGTATCTTATTTGATTATGGTGCTACTAATTCATTYGTTTCTCATACGTTTGCTCRATGTTTAAACTTTGTGCCATATGTGCTTGCTAAACCTTTTTACGTTGACACTGATGGCACATCTATGCTAGCTGATAAAGTTTACAAAGATTGTGTGTTGCAATTAGATGAGCATGAGTTTTTCGTAGATCTTGTACCGATGGATATCCATAGCTTTGATATAATTATTGGTATGGATTGGTTGGCTAAGAATCRGGCTGATATTTTGTGTTTTCAACGCATAATCCGTATACCGAACGACGTCGACTATTTATATGTTTACGGTGAAAAGCGTAAAGAAGACGTAAAGTTGATTTCTACGCTTAAAGCTCAAAGACACCTATCTAAAGGTTGTTCTTCCTATTTAGCCTATATTTTTGATGCGTCGAAAGAGGTAAAGAAAACGGTTAGTGATGTACCGGTTGTATGTGAATTTCCGGATGTATTTCCCAAGGACTTGCCCGGTTTACCTCCTGATAGACAAGTTGAATTTCGAATTGACTTAATTCCTGGTGCAACGCCGATTGCTAGGACGCCGTATCGTCTGGCTTCGGCTGAAATGAAAGAAATGAAGAATCAACTGCAAGAACTTCTCGATAAAGGTTTTATCCGACCGAGCACTTCTCCTTGGGGGTGCTCCAGTATTATTTGTCAAGAAGAAAGATGGTTCAATGCGTATGTGCATCAATTACCGTGAGTTAAACAAAGTAACGATCAAGAACAAATATCCACTTCCATGTATCGATGATTTGTTCGACCAATTGCAAAGTGCGAGTTACTTCTCTAAAATTGATTTACGGTCGGGTTATCATCAACTGAGAGTGCGTGAAGAAGATGAATAGAAAACGGCTTTCCGTACACATTATGGCCACTATGAATTTTTAGTTATGTCATTCGGTTTAACTAATGCACCTGCAACATTCATGGATATGATGAATCGCGTGTGCCGGCCAATGTTGGACAAATCTATGATCGTGTTTATAGACGATATTCTTGTAAATTCCAAATCTGAAGCGGATCACGTGAAACATTTGTGTGAGATGCTTGAAACACTTCGACAAGAGCGTCTATATGCTAAATTTTCGAAATGTGAATTTTGGCTAAGTCAGGTGCAATTCCTAGGTCATACGATTTCTTGTGACGGTGTGTCGGTTGACCCGTCCAAAGTTGAAGCTGTAAAGAATTAGGAGCAACCTAAGAATGCATCTGAGATTCATAGTTTTCTTGAACTCGCGGGTTATTATAGACGATTCATATGAGATTTCTCAAAAATTGTCATGCCTTTAACTTCGTTGACCCGGAAAGATATCAAGTTCGGATGGGGTGAAGCTCAAGAGAATGCTTTTCAGGTGTTAAAGCTTTGTTTGTCAGATGCTTCTGTTCTAGCTTTACCAGAAGGTAGTGACGACTTGGTAGTTTACAGCGATGCTTCTAAACTGGGTTTCGGTTGTGTTCTTATGCAGCGAGGCAACGTAATTGCATACGCGTCAAGACAGTTGAAAGATTATGAAAAGAACTATCCAACTCATGATCTTGAGTCGGCAGCGGTCGTTTTTGCACTAAATTTTTGGCGTCATTACTTATATGGTACCAAATGTCAACTATTCACAGATCATAAGAATTTGAAGTATATCTTCACTCAACAGACTTTGAACATAAGGCAACAACGAGCCATGAAACTGATTAAAGACTATGAATGTGAAAGTATCTATCATCCAGGTAAAGCTAATGTTGTTGCAGATGCTTTAAGCCGAAAGACGTATGCAAACTCCATGTGTTATGCTATTACACATACGTCTGTGACATCCACACTAGTTGACAACATACGAAAATGGCAAGTAGAGGATTTGAAGCCTGATCATGTGAAACCAGAGCGTATAGTTAGTTATGTTTCGTATCTGACAGATGATAGTCGAGGACTTAAAGTCTTCAAGGACCGTGTTTGGATTCCAAAACTCGGTGGTATTCGGGAATTGGTATTATCTTAAGCACATAAGTCGCGGATGTCTATGCATCCGGACAGTATAGAGATGTATTACGATTTGAGATCTGAATATTGGTGGCCGGGAATGAAGCGTGATATCGGCCGATATGTGGAACAATGTGTTACGTGTTCGCAGGTTAAAGCTGAACACCAAAAACCTTATGGTAGCCTTCAAGCTCTCGATATACCAGTGTGGAAATGGGAGGAACTTACAATAGATTTCATTACAAAGCTACCGAAGACGTCTCGTCAGCACGACAGTATCTGGGTTGTCGTGGACCGTTTAACCAAAAGTGCTCACTTTCTGCCTGTTCGAGAGTCATATTCTATGGATAAATGGGCACAAATTTATATCGACGAGATTATTGCACGACATGGTGTTCCTCTGAAGGTAATTTCTAATCGAGATTCTCGATTTACTTCGATATTTTGGGCCAGTTTACAACGAGAACTAGGGACACGTGTGGCATTGAGCACAACCTATCATCCCCAAATTGATGGCCAGTCCGAACGCACGATACAGACGTTAGAAGATATGTTGCGTACATGTATCCTTGAGTTTGGTGGTAGTTGGGATATGCATCTACCATTGGTTGAATTTTCATACAACACCTATCACTCGACTATCGGTATGGCTCCTTTTGAGGCTTTATATGGTCGTAAATGTTTAACTCCACTGTGTTGGCGTGAGACGGGTGAGAAAGTGCTTGCTAGACCCGAAATGATTCAAATTACGCATGATAAGATTCAAGTTATTTAGGAAAGGATGAAAGCCGCTCAGGACAGACAGAAGTCGTACGCCGATAATCGTC